ACCCCACTGTATTTCATATTCGACCCCTTTCACAGTACTCATCTTACCTTTTTCTCTACCTTTGTGTCAGTTTGCCTCTTTTACATCTGTGAATCGCTCTTCTCTTCCCCACCCCTCGACTTTCTGCTACTTTGATTAACCTTCCCTCTGTGAAGCCCGAAGTCAGCTAAATGGCAAATGGTAGCTATCAAAACGCCTGCCATTTGAAATAAATACATTTTGCACAGAAAAAAGTGAATTAATAAGACAATTAGTGAATCTTTATTTCCAAAAAATGGGAGTTATTCACGCCTTTACGACTGCATAATTTTGTCACACAAAGAGTAACTTAGTTTTAAAAAAATGGTATAGCAAATATTATGTCATAAAAGGTGATTAGAAAGTACGTTGATTTGAGCAAGTCTTTTACTGTGAGGTCATAATTGGCATTAACACGTACGTCATTGTTTTGAGAATGGTAATGTTAGTCAAGTTCATTGTGGACGAAAGAAAATTTCCACGACAATCGCTAGATTTGAGCCCGAAACTTATACCATGCTATTTTATTCAAAATGTTTCTCCACTTACCTCCACGTGGTGCACCCTGGGCAACGTATAGTCAAATGGCAAAATAGTTTATTAATCGACCGTTCACTTCTGTTTTCAAACTATCATGACCCCATTCTATGTCATATTCCACCACTTTCACAGTACTCATCTTGCCATTCCCTCTACCTTCATATCTGTCTTTTTACATCTCTGAATCAATCTTCTGTTCCTCCTCTCCACTTTTTGAGACTGTCATAATCATGACGTAATTCGATGAAAAGCTGTCAGACACTTATTTCGCTATGGAATAGCGATGTTTATAGGCAAAATGAGCCAAAACGGGTGCTCACTTTTAGTAGCCAGTACGCAGGAAGGTATTGCAATTAAATTGTGCAAATATTTTCGATCAGATATGTGTATTTACCGATGTCTGGCTGAAGGACAAATAAGATTAGATGAAATGAAGTAATTGAAGGCTGTTAATCAATATTTCATTCAAAGGGAGATCATGGCGACGTCTAAACCACCACTCGTAGGAATTAGTCTACAGCTCAAACGATGGTTCGTTATCACATGACTAATACAACATAGGCGTTTAAAAGAAGCCAAAATAGGTGGTTTTAATTGGCTGTCTTGTTGGCCAATGAGATACTTCACGGGGGTTAGCTTATTTACAAATGAGAACTATTTTGTACTCGGGAACGAATACCATTCATAGAATTATGCGAAATCTGTTAAACAAATCTAAATTAAAAATTCCTATTTGTTCTCCCAGTAATCTTCCGAGGATTGGCTTTTACAATTAGTAAAATAGTTCGTACATAAAATCTCCAACTTTTGACTTTCGACTATTTTTGTCTATTGTCCACCTAATTGTAGATAAATTTAGGATAATAGCACTGAGCATTTCAGAAAGAGCAACTGATTCATATTAGTTACAAGGTACAGTTGACATACTCCGGTTAGTACTCACTCAAAATTTTATCCAAAGCCCGAAAAAACAGCAACGCAACAAATTATGACAATTGGAATTCATTATTTAATAAATCAAACGCAAAATCTTTTACACAGGTCCACTTCACATCACTTCTTTCTGCGATTCTTCACCTTCTGATGACGTTTCAAGAAGGGGGCAGTTTTCTTGGCTCCAACGCCCGCTGACCTACCCCCAGCCTTCTGGTGCGTCCTTTTCTTTTGTCTTCCGGCTCCCATACTGCGAAGGAGGGCCATTCGTTCTGCTGTGGTGGCTGCACCAGTCTTGCCTTTACCCACCTTGGGATTGGGCAAGCCGGCTCCAAGAGGGGCGTAAGCGAAAGGCGCTGGACGACCACGTCTGCTCATATCACCACCGGCGCGCGTTGAACGGTATTCAGAACCAGGAATACGAGGAGTGGATCGGGGTTTTTCTGCAGCCTCTGCTGCCGCACGAGCAATTGAGGCGGCCCTGTACTTAGAATAGACTTTGTCGTCTTCTCCTTGTTCGTCATCGGCTTGAAGCATCCAGTTATCTGTTAAGGGATGGAAAATCGCAATTAGTGTAGCTAATGATTCTTGTAAGATGACAACCCATGAGAGGAATAATTGAATAAACACTAACCTCCGTCATGAAAACAATTACCTAATGCCATAATTACTGCTTCAGCTCCAGAGCTAACCTCCAAATACCCAGAACGTCCCTAAATATACCAATTTATGAAGGTCTTCTGCAAATAGAGTCCTTCAACGCTTGAGTAGAGAGAAGTAAATAACCACACTTCTCTCATCCATCTTCCCCTCGGATATGCTCAATTTGGAGGCAAACATCTCGCTATCCACCCACAACTGCCCAAGTGGAAAAGTATTGAGTCGTGAAAATAAGTGGCGAAATTTGTATTCACTAAAATGAATGCACCCCAAAAGTAGAAAAGCCTGTATGAGGAAAGGAGTTAACGATCGGAGAGACTGGAATTGTGTAATTGGACTTGATGCCGTCTTTTGCTCAATTAGCTGTGAAGGCAGATTTCTAGGGGAATTTAACACTTTTACAGACTCATTAAGATGGATCGAATAAAGGTGACCGTAGATTCCCAACATCTCGTTTTAAGCATACATCTGTGAAGATACTGTAGCATATGAGAATGAGCTTATTCTTTTGCAGACAACCCTTGCCAGAAATGAATGATCCAGGAAATTAACAACATACATCTCTGCAGTTTCATTATAGGCCACTATCAAAATATGCAACAAACATTTAATCAGGTATTCAAGTTGACCCACCGAAGAAGACAACATATAAGGGGAGTTCCACTGTCTACAAAAAAGTTCAAATGCGGTCCTCACTCTTTCCATGAACCAAAAAACAGTAAGGTGTGCGCACATTTGTTAAGGTGGTCATGACGACGTCTGAACCAGATTGATGGTAATGTGATCCAATCGTTAGAGCCACTCTAGGGTTCCGTTTCTTCCACTCAATCAACCATTGTCAACAGTTAACTTAATGGGCTTGGAGGATTACATACACTTTGTACTTGTATTAGGGGAAAAAAGAAGTTTGGGGTATATGTAGAAAGAACCTACCATTAGGAGTGTCAGTGATGATGACTTTTCCATCAGGAGTCTTAGGAAAGAGCACAGTAGCAGAACGTGGCGTGACACGAGCACGCTTGTTGGTCAACTCCAGTGTATCTTGCTGTCTGAGAGCGTTCTTGGCCAGACTCGCCGACGGCGCGACAGTGAGATGACGTGCCAGAGCATCAGGTTCCGCCAAATCAATAATTTCATCCTCTGCAGCCTCTACTAGGTAAGTCATTGAGGCGTTCTCGCCCGCTTGACGTCGCTTCCTTCCAGCTAGAGTGGACTTGCTCACATCATCATCGGCGAAACGAACTCGGCGTTGGGTTGCTAAAAGAGTAAATAGCATAAGAAAAATATCGATTTTAGGATTGAACACAATGGTACAGAAATACTTCGACAGTTAGCGAAGGGAAAGAATAGAAAAAAATGGAAGATCCGGGAAAGTAGACGGCATTAAAGGGAGAGGGGGAGTTGAGAAAAAGACAAATAATAAAGTCGGGCCAAAAGAAGTCATATTTTCAATTGAGTCATGGAATTAGAAGTCCATATTCACACGAGGAATTCGATTTACTGTGCAGTACGCTCATGTAAAAATTGGATGAATTTAATTCTAATTTCGTGTGCAGATTGAGATCCAAGAAAGTTAGATTTTGCTGATCGATTTATTTGCCTCCACGGTTCAATACGCCACTTTTGGATGAGAAGCCAAATAGGAGTGACAAATAACGGCATTTATCTTGAAGATTATAATTATAGCTTATTCAAAGTGAACTCTAATTTCATTAAAAATAAGGTAATTGAATTTTCTTCAACTAGACTTGAATCAATTAAAATCTCCACTGGCATGTAATAGATTTTGATTGTTTTACACCGGAAAAAAACTCCATGAGGCCTCCAACACCAGCAGAGTGGACGTAAAAATCACTCTTCAAAATGGTGCTGTAAGTTATTGCCCTTAAATAGGTTTACACAAGTATGCCAAAATTTAAGTGAAAAGTAAATCAAACCTGTTGTGAAAATTGCAGTTCCTGGGAGAAAAAGAGTTGAAACGTTCCCCATTTTTATGAGGAAGGATGGGAGGGAGGGG